ACATGTTTTGACTCGAGGTAAGTTCTCTGAAGGTATTCATTCAACTCGATTCATTGGAAGAATGTCCGATATCGGTAACAGCAAAAAATATTGGTCACAATTTGTATTTGACAGCTGATCTCATCAATTCAATTGATCAAACAAAATGGTTACCTTGCGCTTTGAGGTTGATTTGCTGAGCGAAATGACTTACTCCGGTTTTTGTTCACGCTCACAATCGGTGGCTCCTCTTCATCTTCTCGACGAAAACTCGATAACTTTCGTACCCTTCAAATGTTTTCCTTCATAAATTCAAATGGTAACAACCTAAGTTCATCAGTTTTCGTTGAATGTTTTTCTAGATTCATCTGTTAAATGAATTCATCTGTTTCGTTGAATGAATTCCTCTGTTAAAATTGCGACGAGTGAAATTCTTAGATGAATGAATTTGCTGACGAATTTAATCCTTGAATGCAGTGGTTTTTGATCTCTAGAGATAATGAGAGAACACTCGATTAGATTATCGACAGCAATCAAATAAAGAAGTTAATTTCGTTGAGTGGTGTTGAATGAAGGCAGTTGAAAACTGGTGACAACTGAGTTCATTAGAATGCCAAATTACTTGAAAATACTNGAGCTCATCGACATTATTTTGCGCAAGAGAGAGCGAGCGCAATACTCTTCGCATTCTCGTGAGACGAATCCACGATATGTCAGGCAAAGAATTCCCACCAAACGCTTATCTTGAAAACCTCTTCAGCGCATGCCTTTCGAGAGCGCTTCACCAGACGTAACTAAGCCATCGTTTGACGACTTCATTGGAATATTCGTCAAAAATAGACTATTCGACAGATCGCCGGAATGTCGACTGAATAAAACTTAATCGGCAATGAGAATGAGCTCGGAAAGAACAACTGTCTATCCACCACCATTCAATGGGCTGATCAAATGATGAAACAACAATCACCTCTGCTGTGGATGTGCCAACGATTCACTTCGGATTCGAAGTTCCGAGTGCATAACGGGTGATGCGGAATTGTCTCGATGTGGCTGCAGTGATTTGCGTTTTGTGTGTGGTGAATGGGAAGTAGTCCGTGAATTGTGGTTACCCATCTGAACGCAAACGCTCCATTATTCATACACAACCATTACAGCGAAGATCATTTC